GACAGTGGGCTTGGGCGGAGGTCAGTCCTAGCGGTCTCGGCCAGGGAAGATTCCGGTGTGGAGGGGAGGAGGCCGGGCCGAGCAGGGCCTGGGGAAGGACCCGGGCACCGCTGGACATCCGAGGACGCAGACTTTGTCTCCGGAGTGAGGCTGGTGACCCGCGGCGCCGCCCCGCAGCGCTCTGGGACTCCGGGCTCGGCGGGGGCGGCGTCACCGTCACCGAGGCGGGTGATCCCGATACCTTTGGGTTTCAGCGGGCTTGAAAAAGCCCGGTTTTCTTTTGCAACGCTTGGTGGCGCTGGTCGAGCTCAGCAAGTCCTGGGGACTGGTGGGGACCGGCTCGGGAGTGCGGGTTCTGAGTCCGCGGCTGCGTGCTGAACACTGTAGCTTTTCCTCCCTCGGGGGTGGGGCGCATCTGAATGGGATGTGTCGATGTAGACTCTAAATTGTAATTTTCTTGTAACTATTTTGGAATGATGCATATTTCTAATGTTTGTTATACTTGTACAGAGTATTGCTGTTGGTTGCTTTTTTTTTTTTTTTAAGGAAAAAATGGCCTGGAAAATAAATTTTTAAAAAAAGACTTACAAATACCAAATATAAAAACTGTCCACACACGATGCCTGCCTTCCTTTCTGTCCGTGTTGCCTGTCCCGCCCCCTACACACAGTGGCTACTCTACAGGGAGAGGTGTTGTTAGCAAAAAACGCTTGGATTTCCCTTTGGGATTTCCACAGACTGTTGGTTTCTTGGGGCTGCCTTGTAAACACCGCGGACTGAGCTGTTGAAACGAAAAGAATGTGTTTTCTCACAATTCAGGAGGCGAGGGGTCAGAGGTCGAGGTGTCCGTGGCCTCTGTCAGTGCAATCTCTTCTTTCTTTGGGTCTTGCCGTGTAGTGCAGGCCAGCCTTGAGCTCACTGTGCAACTCAGGCTGGCCTCCAATGTGCAGCGATCCTCCTGCCTCAGCCTCCCCAGTGCTGGGAGCACAGGTGTGGATTTCTTCCCAGGCAGCTTTAACTTCTGCACATGAGGACTCCATCAGTTGGATTGGGGCCTCCGCCTTCACTACCTCACTTGTCTTCAGTCTTTAAAGAAAGACTCCATCTTTTCTGTTTTGTTTGTTTGTTTGTTTGTTTGTACTGGGGATCGAAGTCAGGCCCTTGTGTTTGCAAGGAAAGCGGTGGGACCACTGAGCCAAATCCCCGGCCCTAGACTCCATCTTTCAGTGCAGTTCCCTTCTGAGCATGAGGGGCTCGGAGGTCAACATGAATTCTGGGGGGAACCGTTCAGCCCTTGACACTCATCCAGGGGGTTCAGGGAGACTCCGGTGGCGAGGGTTGCAGAGACAGATGCCTTGGGGTTTTAGGAACGGCTTGGAGATCTCAGAATTATGGGAACCTGAGCGAATCCTGCAGGGCATCTCAGGGCTGCGGACCCCACAGCCGCCGCCTTTGTGGGGCTTAGGTTCTGGTGCGGGGACCCCTCCGGTGGAGGGGAGCACTGGGGAGAAGCTTTAGCTCCGCCTGCCTGCAGCGCACTCCTCTGTCCTTGCTCTGGGCAGAACCAGACAGGGTTTGGACAGTGGCCGTGGTGCGGTGGTGACAGGCGAGTGATTTAGTGCTGCTTGTGTGGTTGGCTGAAACGCACGGGGTGCGCGTGCTCACAGGTGTGGATGCAGACCCAGGCCCCGACCCCGACCCCGACCCTGA